GAGTCTGATTTTTATCACTGCTATACATAAAAATTTGCACTACTGCATTATTAGTCTTTCACTTTACTATTAACAGTGTTGATTTTGTGAATTATACTATTTTATTCTGTATGCTGCTGTGGAAACAGTAACTTCTTCTTCAGACCAGCACAGTATCAGAGAATCAGTACAGACGGTGCTGCATCGTTGGACCCAGACAGACTATTTATTACTGCTGCCACTGTGACACCCTGTGACACCCTGTGACACCCTGTGACACCCTGTGATAATGTGTTTAAACATGTTTCAGCCCTACAAACCACAGCTTCTAACTGTGACTGCTGCAGTGAATGACAGCCTGGTCAGGGTTAGGTTTTCACTCAGTCGTGTGGTTGTTTCTCTCATGAACCATGACCGAGGACTTTCTAACTGCAGGGACTCACAACAAGTTTAAATAAGAAGCCACAGATATTCTGATGTCCGTGATCAGGCAACAGGCACGTGCAGGGGGGGGGGGTAGAGGGGCTTGAGCACCCGCCCCTTTCCTGATGGGTGCCCAAAGTGCCCTTTTGTTGAGGTAACCTTTTTAAAAAAAATTATTATTATTTTTTATGTGTGTGTGTGTGCGGAGTCCTGTCTGTGCCCCTCAACAATAATATTTAACTATTAATCACAGTTTTGCTAAATAAAAGGATCTGGCTTGCATCAGTCACATGATCACATTTAACCAATGATCACTCTTGACGGCAGAACGCGCTGGTTACGAGCCGGGAACGAGCTCACAAAGAGCACGCGCATTTTTAGCGGTCCGGAGCTGCAGGAGAAACACAAGTTAACTCAGAGACACAGACTGATGCGACACAACCAGTAAGTAGGTGTACAGCGCACACTGTAGTGTGTAGCACCCAGGAGTATTAGCTTATTACGTACACGTTGGTAAGCTGTCTTGTGGCAACTGACGAACTGAAACAAACTAGCGTGCTGTGTGTGCAACAGCGCGACAAACATACCTGTCCTTTTATTAACTTCACAGGTAGTGCTGGTCATAGCTGCTGGTTACCTGGCTGTTATGGGTCTGTAGCTCTGTCACCGTTTTAGGGAACATATTTCGTTTTAAAGTAAGTTTCCTGCCTTTCTGGAGGGATTATATTTCACTAAAAAATGATCTAATATGCATGTCCACATAATAATTATTATAATTATAATATATTAAAAAACACAAGCTGTATTTTAAAGAACATACATTAAGAAGCAGATTATATTAGATTTATATTTTAAATAAGACAAAATGTGGATTTTACAGCAGTAAAATGATTGTATCTCTACAGTTTAAACATGTAATAAGCTTTGCCCTGCACAGAGTGGGTAGTGAAACAAATGCAATCATCATAATGACATTATTTCATATTTATTACTTCCCCCTCCTCATTGCTTTATTATTGTAGCTCTAGTAATAAATAATAATGTAAGGATTCTGGATCAGCACCATGATGCCCATAGTATATACAGTATTCTGAAGAAGGTCTAAAGTGTCACTGTGTGTGTGTGCATGTGTGTGTTTTATTTAGATGGATTTTTAAAAAAATTATTACTCATGATATAACATTGTGCAGACATGGCTGGTAAGGACATGAGGAGGAAACAGCAGAGCTGTGTGAGGCTACTAAAGGCAGTGCTATAACATTTTTCTGTCATCATTTTATTATAGATTAAGTGCTGGAGTTGTTAGGTGTGGACAATTAGATTATAGTTTATTGCAATAGCAAGTTGTGCCTTGTTCTCAGATAGACAGCAAGTGGAGAGTGATATATGAAATGATGGGATGGAAGGAAGAAGAGAAGCAAAGAGTGATTCACAGGCAGAGCCTAAATTATTTCTCACAGTTTTTTGTGTCCTTATGGTTCCAAGCGCTGTCACCAATCTTTGCATTTTGTTATTATCTCATGACACTTGTTTAATCAGCTACCATCTCTCCTGTGGACTTTTTAATGTCTACAGTCTCAGATCAACACAGCCCTGCCCTTCCCATATTAGATTCTTGATGAATGTGTGTTGTTGTTATTCAGCCTGGTTCAATGTGCCCCTTTTTAACTTTGGGCACCCGCCCCTTTAAACCTCTCTGCACGGCCCTGTCAGGCAAGTGGGGAGTCTCAGTATGGTCTGAATCTTTGTCATTGCTCTTTTATTTACTTGATGGTAGTTTTCACCAGTGTTGGGTAAGTTACTTTAAAATAGTAACTTAGTTACATTACTAGTTACTTCTCTCAAAAGTAACTCAGTTACTTCAAGTTACTCGTTACTTTCAAAGTAACTAGTTACTAGGGAAAGTAACTTTGGTTTTACTCAGAATTCTCTTGTTAATGTGTTGCTCCCATAACTTTGCAGTCTTCTAGCTTGCTTACTTGCCACAGTGCACTGTGCCACCTACCAATAGAAAGGAAAAGATAACGTGCATATTTCCACGAGAGAAATCCCACGCCTGGACCGTCATTGACTGCTGCCATGATTCTAGCCTACGTCACAGCGTCATGTGCGCCTTTTACATCCAACACAAAAACTGCAGTCGTGGTGATTTCGATTGTACTCAGAACTCTAAAATTCTGCCTTCTGAATAGGAAGATGTAGGCAACACCAGACTGCAGATGAGCTGCATACAGGGCTGGACTGGGACAGAAAATTGGCCCGGACATTTTGACTAGAGACCGGCCGCCATTATAGGAAAAATCATAAAGCCTTTGAATGAAAATAAACGCTGTTGTGACAGTGATGTTCACTGTTCTGATGGTATATATGCATCAATCTATCAATTGTTTGTTGTAAAATTCAGATAATTATTTAATAACAGCGAGACATTTTAAATGAGAATAAGAAAGAAAAGTATTTCTTTGTGCCCCCCTCTCCCTGTTAATGCCCTACCTGCCCCCCTGGCAACACTTTGCTAGACCCGCCCCTGCACAGTTACCAGCTGTCAGCTACTTAGAAAAGGATCCTGGTGTTATTTGTCTCTCAGAAACAGTTCATAACTTCCCTTCAACTCACTCATGTCACCTAAAAGGTAAACCTGTTTCTCCATCACCTGTTCAGCTCTGATGATTCAGTAAGGACATCTCCTGGTTTCATCTTCATGTTTCCCTCTCACCAGATAACCAAACCGACATCATGACCAGCAGCTTTACAGCTGTGGCTCCAGCAAACATCAGCTGATACTAGAAATTAATATTAAATCAATTCTAACAATAGCTGATCAAGCTTTAACGTGCTGCTGTTGTTTAGCGCGACATCCGCTGGTTTCCTCTTTCTGGCGCAAAGTGGGCGATAAACAAACAAGAGAGCCGATCAGCTGATCATTGATCAGTTTCATGACTGAAGTAGAAACAGGAGAGGGAGGGGGGAGAATGAGAGAAGAAGAGGCAGCTGTGCAGCAAAGACACAGAATAACTCCAGCTTTGTGCCTTTTCCATTGTAGCTGAATTACGGGACAAACTGTTCCTTTTCACTTCAATAAGAAACGCGTAATATTTCTCTGAATACCAGACGGGACGGTTGGCAACTCTAATAACTTATGAACAAAATAAAGTTCAACATCAGTAACTTCATAGCACCCACCCAGCTGTATAGAAACTCCGTCATGCTAGCTAGCACGCAGTACGGAAAAAGTCAGAATAACGAAAATAAACTCCACCTACACTTGGTTCATATCTGACCCAGAGAGACTGCAGGTCATAACTTCTTACCTGAAGTTCAGTTCACACTTGGACCGGCGGCCGCCTCGGGTCTCTCCTCTTGCCTCCCCTTTCCCTCATCCACCTGCTGGGCTCCACCACTTGCTAATGTTACTGAATCTGTGGAAGCTCCGCGATGCCACCACACGAAGTAACGAGTAACGACCCTATCTAAATCCCAGTAATGAGTAACGCGTTCCTGGTTTTGGCATAATAACTAGTTACCGTGCTCGTTACCACAATGATAACGTAGTTACTGTAACGCGTTACTTAATAACGCGTTAGTCCCAACACTGGTTTTCACTCTGTGATTTTATGAATAATGTTAGGCACACGCTGTCCTGGGTCGCTGATCCAGTGCTTTGTGTTCTGGTGTTTCCAGAGTGACTCCTAGTTCAGTTTTCCATAGTGGCTCTGGTTTCGTCCCCTTACTGTTTTGCTTGTGTGTTGTCGGCAGTGTTTCCTGTTTGTCAGTCTTGTTGTCATGTCCCGTCCATTATTCGTCTCAGTGTTCGGTCTTTAGCACAAGTTCATGTCTTGTCTCTGCAGTGCTGCGTTTGGGTCCAACCTCTGCTGGCACACAGCTGGACCCTCACACCGACATCAGATTATGGACACTGAGAGTTAATTTCTGGGTTTTTGTTTGCAGTGTAAATTATTTCAACATGCACCACTAAAAATCTGGGGCATGTTTTTACCTTCATCAGGGGTAAAACTTATTTACCAAATCACAGCTTGTGGTTTTGTAGAGCAACTTGCTATTTGTCCATGTTAGCTTAGTGTTAGCCATCATCAGCCAGAATAAAGATGGCTGAGGCTCATTTGTCATTTAAACCCAAAAGTCTTTCTGATGTTTACTGTAGTTTTTTACGATGGCTTCATTCACTACAACAAGCCTTTTTTGGCTGCAGCTGTTTATCTGATAACTCTGACAAACTGCTTTATTCACAGCAGCTCGCTGTGCGCTCTTTGCTGTTGTCTCTGACTCTGTGAAGGACTGATTCAGTCCAATCAGACTGTTAGAGGCAGCCAGAGAGTCGGGGAAGGATCTTGATACAATATTGGCAACAAAAAGTGTTTGAAAGCTGCGAAAAGCAGCAAAGACAACATTTAATTTCATCTTGGTGCAGCTTTTTGCTCCGACAGCTAAACTAATGAAATGTGACAACTGAGCTTCATATGTGAATGTCAGGATGTAAGAGCAGCTGATTAATGGCTGTGAGCATAATTGCTCTGAAATGAGATGTGATGAATTATCCCCAGTGTGTGTTTGTCACACACGCAGATATAAACACAGACCTGAGCGTCTTCCTGTGCATGTCTTCCTCTGTGATGCCGACATAAGTGAGCGTTTCATTCCACACTGGATTCAGGGAGTTACGGATCGTCCTCGTTTTCAGCTTATTGGCCTGAAGGACACACACACACACACACAGAGATATTAGTAATTACTAACACAGTTTGACATTTCATTTCAGCAGCTCTGCACAGAAGTTCAAACAGTGCAGAAAATGTGTTTAAACCTTTTTAAGCTCAGGTATGAATCTCATTAAAGACTGAATTCGTGGCTGCGTCGCTTCAAGACAAAAGTCAAATAAAAATAAGATCCCATCAACAACAGGACGAAAGGAAAAACAGGTCAGAGAGAAGATTTTCTTTTTCACACCAGAGCCAAGATGGAGATAAACTTTAATGTTATTTGGGGACCCAGACAGTCATTGCTGTCTCCTCACAGCAATAAACTCAAGTTCACAAAGATTGCACAATTAATAAAGCAAAAATCAAAGCATCACTTCAGCGAAGGTGCCGGAAACCCGCCGAGAGACTTAACTAGCATCAGGATAAAAGTCAATCCGTCCTCAGTATTTTTACACATTGCTCGTGTCAGGAGGAGGATTTCGTTTCATGGCTTTGAAACGGCTTCTGAAAATCCTGAAATGAGCCGAAGCCAAAAATGTGCTGCCAGCACCACCACTGAACCGTGGACGCTACATTTCAGGCGCTCACAGGCGGCTTTACGTAAACACAGAGGCCACGAAACCAGAATAAAATCACTTTTTACATATTTCAGCTGACTGTATCATGTTCTTCTCATTTCCAGCTGCATATTTTTATTCTTAGAGCAGTTTTGCATCGTTGACTGCTCAAAGTGAAGCGCTCTCACACAAAATAACCTCCGTGGGAAACAAAACCTTGTGACACTTTTTTGAACATGATCAACTTTGTCAAACTGATGTCAGTTTGATTTTCTGAAGCATGGATATTAAAAGGTAACAGTCACGTGATTCCAGCCTCCTAACTTCCTGTAACTTCCTGTAACTTCCTGTCTTTGACACGACAGCGCTGAGTGTCCCCAACAGCTTCTGTAGTCTAACTGTTCATAATGGTAAATGAATAGTTATTAATAACTAAGCTCGACTTTTTGAACCTGAATAATCAGATTTGACCAATCAGACCACGAGGTCGACTTTTCTTCACGCTGAGGATGAATTTTATCCAAAAACAACATGTTTGGTGTTATTTGTTACACAGGAAGTTCAAAAACGTCCCACTTTGTCAGAACGCACTCGGTGTGACCCGACGGCCGCTCTGACCGCGTCTACAGCACGCCACCAGTCGGGCCTACAGTGGTGCATGTCTGCATGTCTGAGTTTGAAGCTTGAAGTGAAGCGCTGTGAATACTGTACTGATGCGCTGAACACTGACTTCATTATTAGAACCTGACCGTGTTTTATGTGAACGCCGTTGTAACGGCAAATATTTGAGAGGAAATAAGAAAAAGCAGAAAAATAAATCTGGTCGGTCTGTGGCTGTACGAGCAGAGTGGCACCTTTACCTCCGGCTCATCAAAATGCAGAGAGAAAATAACAATGAGTCAGTGACACCGATGTTACCCAAGCTGCTAAAAAAAACAAAAACTCAACTCGACCAAATCTGGTGTGAGAGAAATAAACAACATCCCCCATATGGAAAAGATAAATCTTATAAAGTTTGTATCTGTCTTGTGTGAAACTTGTATGAAAAGCATACAGGAGTGAAAACAGATATAAGATCCCTTAAAAATTATATAAATGAAACTTGTATGTTTTGGATACTTACTAAAACAATGTATGAAAGTAATGAGAAAGTGGCCACTTTCATGAGTAATCACATATAAGTTTTTACTATTTCTTTTCCATATAGGCCATTTTAAGCAGCAGGAAGTGACACAGAGGTCAGAGGGCGATGCTTCGTCCTCTTATTTGTTCAGTTACACTAGCTGTGCTGCGCACCTCTCTGTAGGTGTTTGCTCCGCCCACAAAGTTCCCGTTTTCATGTGTAGAAACACGTCCGTCGACTGTTCATTTTCTGCTGATGCTACTTCATCCTCACGCTGGAGAGAATTTCACTTGTTCCTTTATCCAGCAATGAAAACGAAACAAGCGCCGAGCAAACAGTTTGCACTTTGGTCAAACTAGTGACATGAAAGAAAACAATTTATAACACATAAGATTCTTTTTAGGAGTTTCTAACCTGCCCACAGTGGTTTAGACTCAAGCCCGTCTTTCATGATGAAGGCTGTCGTGTCCTTCAAAGGGTCCAGTTTGGCTTTACTGTGAAACTGTTCCAAACAAAATCTTTAATTCACGCTGATGTTCGTGTGGGATGAACTGTTGTAACAGAGTCATCATCTTTACTTACGTTACAGCACCTCTGTGTGGCTTCCCCTAACACAAAGTCGAACGTCAACAGCAACTTTGTTCTAGATAAGCAGATAGGGCTGCGCGATATGACCAAAACCTCATATCCCGATATCAGACATCTATCGTCCGATAACCATATAAATCACAAACATGTAACATTTTCTGTAAATTCTGTGAATCTCGGGCAGCTCGACTTGCTTGACGTGTTTCCAGCTGGGCATCATGTAGCTGGAGTCGAGTGTTTTAACCGATGCATGAAAGGACACATTTTTAGACATGAGTTGTAACGGCGCCGTTTTCTTTGTATTTATTACACGGCGTGCTGCGGGGAAAAGCTGTTCTAATGTTTGAGTCTAAGGTTTATTTTTTAGCACCCGGCGGCTCTTTTTTACTTCTCATCCGTAAATAATCTGCTCTTTCACATGATTCTGTTTATTTTGAAAAGTCTCAACAGGATCTTGAGCTTTATTGTGAAAGGTTTATGTGGAACATAAACAAGCGGACACGCGATGCTGTTATCGTCGTTGTTGCTAACGACAACGCATAAAAACAGGCGCTTGTCCGTCTGTAGTGTGGTTATATTAAATATAAGAGAAAGAGAGAACTTTATTAATATAGCCACTACAGTGACATCAGAACCATGAACAAATATTAATGTAAACAGTTTATTTTGAGATACCACAAAACAAACGATAGCGTGAAATGCAACGAAAGACGTTTTTATATCGTCATCAGATATATATCGTTATATCGAACAGCCCTATAAGCAGAAGTATGTGTAGCATCTGCAGGAAGGTTATTATCCCTTCAGCTGTTTCGTCAGGGCACTGATGTCTCCGTGTGCACATCTCTCCAAACACAGCAGGATCTAAAGGACGAGTAGTGTCTGATAGTCTGGGATGTTGAATTAGTCGGTACACTCAAATCTTGCCCTCGCCATGTTTCACTGGTATCACTGGTATAACCCTGTGGTATCGATCACAAAGAGGGCGACGAGCCGGCAGGTAGCAAAGTATGAAAGTGAAAGCATGAAATCTCAGAGATTAGTGCCGTGGTGAAGCAAGATGTCAGAGGAAAACAAGACAGAGGCAAAAACACCAGAGACACACGGTGAAAAATACTTTCAAAATAAAACAGGAAGTAAAGCATTTCTCATGAAGGTTTCTAACAGAGTGAAGTGATCTGGAGGCATCTGCAGTCATAACAACATTAAGATGACCTCCTTCACCTGAGGATACTCTGGAGCATCCTTACAAGCATCCTTCAGTTACTGCCACTAATGAGTCATCAGTCATTTTTGCCATCACCCACTGTGGAATGATGGGAGGTCAGCTGAGTGTTTCCTCTTTTTCTTTCCCTTCCTGAGAAGTGCTGTAGTGCTCCTCATCAAGCTCATGCTGGAAACATGAGGCACAGCCTGCAGGTCAGAAACACCTGAACACTCAGTGGGACTTTCTTCTTCTTTCAACTGGAGCTTTTGAGGTCCACACAGTCTGCCTCCATCCTGCCCAATCCCAGCGTCCCGCTCTGTCACACCAACCCTCTGTGGTTATGAACGGTCTCTCACCTTACAGGCTCCGGGCAGCAGGTGCAGTTTGACGTACGGGTCAGCTAAACCGTTGAAGTCCATCGGCTTCAGACCCTGCAGATAACAGAAGCAAGTGAGCATATCATTATTATTATTTGATGTTTCATTGCATCCAGATTACAATCACGAAGATGGCGAGAGGAACGTCACGGCAGGTACAGCTATCCTCTACTTGAACCGTGAGACTAACCCAGGAAAGGTTATAAAAACTATCATAATAATAAAGTTAAGAGAGGAAGTGAAATATGTCACCTGGAACGTATCATTAGAATAAATACAGAATCAGAACAGGAACCCAAAACCAAGAATTCCCACTTTACTATAAATCCAGCCGCTATAACCTGTGATTCCTGACATTTTCTCCACATCTTCTCCGGCTGTTCACATCTCAGGAGTATAAAAACTAAAAGAGGCGACAGGACAGATGATTTTTCCACACGGGCAGATGAAACACTTGATTTGAATCTCTTGACCTCATCAGTGGGAGCAGATCATCGTGACAAATTGCTCCTAAATCTCTTTCAACAGCTTTGACATTTGCAGTGCCGGCAGACGAAGCGATTTCTCCTTCTGTGCATATTCCCCTCCACCCCCACCCACAGCATTTTTAATGAGACCGAGGCACCACACAGAATCTGACCTTCCACATCTACCTGAAATACAATCCAGTGTCACAAGTGACAGCTATGATACCTCGAGTTTCAATTACATGTACTTTTGTTCATCAGTGTCAGACATCCAGTTTCATTTGAATGGTGTGAGCAGTTAGTTGGTTCAGCCACAGTCGTTCACGTGGACGCATGGCGTTTGTGTCTGACTCTCCTACAGCTTTGAGTTTGGGCTCCAGCAGCTGAAGCTGAAAAACCTGCAGTTCCTCTAATAATAATAATAATAATGGATTGGATTTATATAGCGCTTTTCAAGGCACCCAAAGCGCTTTACAATACCACTATTCATTCACTCTCACATTCACACACTGGTGGTGGCAGCTACAGTTGTAGCCACAGCTGCTCTGGGGCAGACTGACAGAAGCGAGGCTGCCATATCGCGCCATCGGCCCCTCTGGCCAACACCAGTAGGCGGTAGGTGAAGTGTCTTGCCCAAGGACACAACGACCAGGACAGAGAGCCCAGGGATCGAACCGCCGACCTTCCGGTTACAGATGCGCTTCCCAACCCCTGAGCCACGGTCGAACAGTGTTAATGTTCACATGTATAAACCTACAAGAGCGACTCGCTGCACCCGCCAGAGGTCCCGTGTCCACGGCAACATCGGGTCAGAGCTGGATCGTGTTTGAATAATGTGGATTCACTGCCCGCACAAAAAGCTGCTTCTTAATGTTTCTATCAAATATTTAACCTTAGAATTGGTGGATTATTCTGCTGAACGTTTCTGGCAGCGGTTACCAGGCGTGTCTTTTATTTGCTGATGTTAAAGGTGTTAAATAATTCTGAGCTTTCCCTCGTCCCTGCAGAAAGAAATGTGTGCACACAGCAGGGAGCGCCGAGTTAATCCACCTGCTCGAATCTTAAACTGCTCCTTCATCTGCTGCAGAAATGAGTCGATGCCAGGAGGGAAATCACCGACATTCAAGTAGGTACTCAAATTAAGAAAACAGCAGAGGAAACAAAGGATACAGCAGGTGCTCAGATTATCTCCCATCCCTCACGAAATGAAGCAATTTCATTCTCACATGTGTTTCTATTAGTGTTGCACTGCAGAGCGAGAGCAGCGCCGACTGCATCAATGTCACGGTGATCTAAGAGGGAAGGAGAGGACTTTGCCTCTGTGCTCGAAGCGGCTCGTGTTGATCTCTGCTTCATTAAAATCTGAAGACTTTGCAGCTTCAGGACACAAACCATACATGACAGGAACAGCTTTGAGCTCCAACAACTTTCTGTCACCAGCTGTGGAGCACGAAGTGTGATTCAGTAATGGGACCAGATTCTTTTCATTTGTATTAAGTGTTCAGAATTCGACTGTAGTTCATTATGACCTAAAGTTAGCTTCCTCCGTGTACATTAAACAAAGCTGAATCTGTTGTTTTTGTGATGCTTTTACTTTTTCATTTCCTTTTCATTTGTTGGTTTGTTACAGGAAGCGATTAAACATCCCCAGTTAGATTTAAGCACTCGGATTCAGGCATCACACGGTGCCCCCTGAACCTTCAAACATACGCATGTGGCAGAAGGGAAACTTCCAGCTCGTCTAAGAAATGAAAGAGTTCAGATAAACAAACAGCGGTTATCTTTCTCATGCCAGGGTCATGGCTTTGCCTTCCAGCACGACAACCAGAAACGTGCGTTTGGTCATCACGTTGGTCTTGTGGTGAAGAACAACCTCCAGAAGACCAAAGTGACTGATGGGCTTCAGCCCCACTGATGGTGAAAACACCATCAAACCTGGAGGAGCTTCAGAGATGCTCAGGACTGGTGAGGAGACGTGTGTGAGAACCGCTGCAGCTCGTAGCACAAAGGACGACCGATGGCATCGTTCTCCTGGTTTTTGTTCCTGTGCAAAGTGAAATTATGGATGCATCCAAAATAAAACTGGGACGTTTGGAAATTTGTCGGGGAAACAGTTTGTGAGAGGTGCACTCGTGTCCTCATGTGTAACACGGGCAGAGAGCCGAGTAGAAAAAATGCCGTTTTTTGAATTTGCTGAAATCTGTTTCTGGTTCTTTGAAGCTAACTTTGGTGTGACTAATGAAAAGCTTTTTGTGAAATACAAACACTTTTGAGTTGTTTATTTAATGAGAACAAAGAGTTTATTCTCACTGTGAAATATAAAGCCAGCAGCCCGAGGGGACGAAACAAACCTGCTTCAAACAAACGGTCTCTGGACAGATAAACAAGGTAAAGGCAGGAGGTGAAGCGACTGCGCCATAATTCAGATCAAGCTGTCACAGCAGAGTCCAATTTAAGTGTCACAAACAACAAGAGGGAGACAAACGGAGGCTGTAAAGAGACGACGGGCTGCAGTCAGAGCAGGTTCAGCTCCCCACACTCTGGATCTGTGCATGCACACTGAGACAGCGGTGCATGCAGCACACGCCAACATGCAGGGAGGAGAAATCTCTTTAATATATGCTGCGTTTGTGCAGGTTAGCAATGCTGAACAGCCTCAGCAGTGTGCGCACGGCGACAGCAAACAAACACGTCTCCATCATATTTGTGTTTGTAATGATGGGAGACGCCTCTCAGAGGTTCTCTGAGACAGACAAAAATAACCTTTCATTTCTTTCCTCCCTGAAAATAACTCTTTAGATCCACTTTTTTTATAAACACCTAAAACTTCATAGACATTTTTTGTTGATGTCTGAAGGCATCAAACACCGACCCATCACTTCCTGGACTCCACAGCCTACTGTGGTTTGCAAATCCCACTTTATAAAGCTTCATAGAGGGTGGAGTGTTATATCCCAGTAACATGCAAGTAAAATACTAGAATTCCACTCAGCACACCTGGAGCTCAGGCTTCTTGAACAGTTAGTACAATAACCTCACAGCTGCCATATTACGGGTCAAATAATGTCATTATTATAATTTGAAGGCTCCAACAGCACAAACACAGACTGGAGGTCCAGGTCAGATGAAGCTAGCAGACAGCTACAGCCACCTGTGTCAGCTACAGAGGCCACGCCCCTAATAATGCAAACATGGAGCCAGGCTATAAAGTGTTGGAGCCTCTAGTGGACGTTAGAGGAACTGCAGATTTTGGTTCTTTAGCCCTGTAAAGCTGATGCTTGTTGATGTTTCAGTAAAATCAGCACCAAAAAGTTTCTGCTGGGACGTCTGCAGTAACTCCACTTCATCCTCACGGAGCTGCTGTTGGTCCATCTGCATTCTGAAAAAGGTGGTGTAGATTAGCAGCTGTCAGATCTTTAGGAACACCCGCTCTGGATACATGGATCAAAGGTGGAGCTGTTGGATGGGTGGTTTGGCCACACTGAGCGCAGTAGTTATCAGGAAGAGAATAAAATAGAGAATAAGAGTTTTAATAAATATTCCTGATTTTTCCCATCTTCTGCCACAAGCTGGACCCAGATAAGTTTGCTCCCTCTCTGTGGGCTCGTGCTGAGGGTGGGGATGTCTTTCAGCTTCAGCTCTCTCTTCATGACGTCTCAAGCCGAGAGTCTGAAATCACTGTCTTGGTGTAAGATGTGCGAAACCAGGAGTACCAGATGCTCGTAGCGATTGTGATTGATGGCTCGTTAGACAGAGCTGGATGATTCTTCTCTCACTCTCAGAAGGACCATAATTTACAAAATGCATTCAATGTTTTATTCAGACTTGTGACCGAGCCCATAAACCCATCAGGAGAGTGTTTACTGAGGTCACAGAGGAAGTCATGTGTCTTCTGCACAACCAGGAATCTTTTTGCATCTGACAGAGTCGCCTCCTGTTTGACATTAGTAAGAATTACAGCTGTCGCAGTCAGACGCAGAGGCGACACCATCTTTTGTAACATCTGTGAACAGTCATGGTGAGCTGTGAGATGATTCTCCGAGCAAGCCTGACGGATGAGAACCCAAAACAAGGTGCGGTGTAACCTGTGCCAGGTACAGGCAGGCCGTCACACGTCTACCATAAGGAGGAGTGATCTTTGGTGAAGAGCCAGATTCTCCATAAATACACAACAATATGCATCCTTTCCTGACCTGTCCTCCCGGGCTTTAAGCAGGACTGTCTGTGGCGCTCAAATAACTCAGAGGAACGACTCAAAAACAGGAAATGGTGTGATGTGATGGCTTTAAAGCCAGGAATGAATCCCACGTGGTGTGAAGGAGAAAAACCTTCAAACATTTTGCAGCTGAAGGGATTTTAAAAAGAAGAGAGGTCAAAGATTTCAGCGAGCCGATGTCAGACACGGCTGGACAATTATGCAAAACGCCTACGAGGAGGTATTTTGGTTAAAGTGGGCGACGCTTGTACCTGGTGCCAGCGGAGTAGTACGTTTAGTCTGTCAGTCTGATGTTTGTAGTGATGTGTATCGCTGCTGATATTCAAACAAAATGTCAGATAACCTGAGGAACAGTTTTAAAAGGGACGAATTACACGTTGTTTTTCATAATGACACTTTGAGGTAAAACCTCAGTGAAACCAAATGCATCCTGATGTAAAACAGCAGAAAACGTCATATGTTTCATCTCACTTTAGGCTGTTTGCTGGATATAGCACACGGCACGCCCATCAGCATCACTTTGGTGACTCCAGCTCGACGCCTGCTCTTCACACCAAACACGGGTCTCCAGCCCGAGGCTCGGCCGCCTCTTATCTCACCTCCTCCTGACTCCTGACACCTGCTCTGGGACTGTTACTGGGTCAACGACGAGCTGAGGATGCACGCATCGTTTTCCTGCAGCTTCCTCAGATCCATAATCAGAGATTACTCTCGCTCCTCAGCAGCAGCACCCAGACGAATAAAAGTGTGTGAGTGAAATTTACTGACCAAATAACAATCTGTGCAGCAGACCCACGGGTCCAAGTAGCTCAATAAATCTGAATTTGCACAGAAATACTATTAGAGCTCATATTTATCTTTGACAGCACAGCCTTCATTATTCTTCACTCTGTGGAGGGAATCTAATTCGTAGCAGTTCATGAAACTAGAGCAGATTTAATTTATGATGAGTGGTGAAAATCCACAGCTGAGAGCAGACTTTAATTATTATTATATAACATAGTTCCCTGTGTTTAATCTGCTTTATGCAACTTTCTCATATATCATGATTATTATTATTATTACTCTTATTGGATTATAACTTGTCTTAAAAAAGCTAAACAAAGTGATTTTCACGTGAAGGGCTCAGGGCGGATTTTTCTTTAAAATCCTGGGATCCTCCTTAAACGTGTCTTTCATTCCTGATATGAAGGTTTATGAAATATACTGAAGTTACTGCACAACGTAAATCAGCTGATCGGTTTTACTCCATATGGGCTGTATGCTTCCTGTTGCATGAAAACAGAGAAGAAGAGCGTGTCGGTGTCTGCAGAGCGTCCTCACCTTGGCCCGCAGCACGGTGCAGTGCAGCTTGTTGGAGCTCTGCTCGTACCTCAGCTCGAACTCCAGCGTTCCCAGAGCAGCTGGGGAATCATCGCAGGCAGAGGGAGGAAACAGACAACATCCATGATTCATGAAAGAAAACATGATTACAAGCCTCGCGTCAACAAGCGCAAGAGATCAAAACTGTTAGATTTAATTGAAAGCATGCAAGAGAACAGAGAAACATGTCAGGCATGTCATGCAATCAGAAGATGGGAATCCAATTCGGAGGAGAGCGCACGTGACTCACAGTCTTCCTACAAAGAAGAGCAAACATTCACAGCCGTGCACGTGTAACAGGGCACACACGCTCGCTCAGATAACACGTATGATTCACACTAACACATCACTGCTTACATAACTAACCGCACTCATACGCTAACTCTGAGCTGCTGTGTGTAGCGGACGAACGGCTACGTTACTCTGCTGCACGGTGAACGAGAGCGGCCTCTGCCACGTCCTGGTTTTTCTTCTTCACTGAGTGAACCTCGCGGCTCAGGGCCGCTGTGACTGAACATTTTAATGTTCAAATGACAGAAAGACATGAAAATGACTGCAGAGGCCACAGGACGAGATGGCAGTCACAGTAACACAAAGAAAAAGAAAATCAAACACAAAGGCGTGATTTTGGCATTAAGTTCATTTCTATGGAGCCCCTCTGATGACATGGTCGAAAAAAGAAATAAATTGTGGCCACGAAATACTATTTCGAGGACACGAAATAGGTCTAACGTGGCAACGAAACAGATAACCTGCGCACATCATATTGATACAATTCCTGGACAGCTGCGTAGAGACATCAGCATGAGAGTAGGCTAAACCTATACACCGTGGACAGAGACAGTATGATGAAGTTTTATTTTAGGCTGGGGATGAGCTACAAATGCATTTTGAAAAGCCTGCAATGCAAGGAACCATTATTACGGAGAGACATTTAAACAGGATACTGCGAGCCCAGTTGCTTTACAGATGTACGTAGGACCTGGATTTTATTGTCAACCAACTGCAAGGGCCTGAAGGATCACGGTTATCGGTCAAGTGTTTCGTGCCCACAAATTAGCATTTCATGCTCACGAAATAGTATTTCATGGCCACAATTTATTTATTTTTTGGACCATGTCGTCAGAGGGGCTCCGTACATTTCAGTCTTCTGATGAAAATGTTTTAGTTTTACACAGTTTCAATTCAGGTAATCAGGTAAACTCCCAACACACAGTGATCAGGACCGAGTCAGGCCACGGGCAGGTTGTACAGGACTTTGTGGGTTGTTGTGATGAGTCCTTCGTTTCATTAAAGGCGTCAAAATCAAAAGACGTGATTATTGATTTTGGGAAGTCTTATAGCTCATCAGCCGCTGTCATTAAAGATACTGAGATTGTGCAGAGTGTGAGCCTGCGATTCGCTGTTTGGTAACATGACTCTGAAGAACAAGAACCAGTTGGGAGTTTTGCTATAAACTGCCAGAAAACTGTCAGGGCCTGTGGCCATGTATAAGTTAACAACGCGTGCTGAGGAAGGCTCGTGTTCAGTTTGACTCGCTCGTTGCCTTCGAGTTTCACCTGCGAGGTCGACCAAAAAGACTCCAGGTTTCTTTTATCCCGACTGCGACTCGTCTCCTTAATGGCAAATAATCCAAATAACTGTCGTGTGGCTTTTTATAATAATAATGGATTGGATTTATACAGCACTTTTCAAGGCACCCAAGGCGCTTTACAATTCCACTATTCATTCACACACTGGTGGAGGCAGCTACAGGTGTAGCCACAGCTGCCCTGGGGCAGACTGACAGAGGCGAGGCTGCCATATCGCGCCATCGGCCCCTCTGGCCAACACCAGTAGGCGGCAGGTGAAGTGTCTTGCCCAAGGACACAACGACCCGGGAATCAAACCGGCAACCTTCAGATGCGCTTCCCAACCCCCTGAGCCACAGTCGCCCCGTGCTCATTTCATCATCACCATCACTTTTATTTATTCTTATTGTTGCCTTTGCTGCTAAACTAATTTCCCCTGTGGGACAATAAAGACAATAAAATAAAGTGAGTTGAATTGAAAATCCATCCATTCTTTTCCGCTCGTATCCTTTTGCAGGGTCGTGGGGAGCTGGAGCCTATCCCAGCTGTCTTAGAGGATACACCCCGGACAGGTCGCCACACACAGACAACCATTCACACTCACATTCACACCTATGGCCACTAACTGCATGTGTTTGCACTGTGGGAGGACGCCGGAGTACCCGGACAGAACCCACACAAACATGCAAACTCCGCACAGAAAGACCCCGGCCTGAACTCAGGACCTTGCTGTGAGGCCACTGTGCTGCCCATGAATTGAGAATCTCAGATATTTTATTTGTAGATAGTACTCATACGCAGATCAACATAGCGAACACTTCTAGAAGCAAAATATTCAAACAAAAAAAGATTTAAAAAAATGAGAAATAGGGGGCGCTAGTGAGGCATGTGCGAGTGTAGACGTCCCTCGTCAAAATGACTTTAAGAAAATCTTTTAATGCTCTCAAAAGCACGTCAAACCCATCTTTTCGCCAAATTCATAACCTGCTGATTACTGTGGATATATTTCTGGGAGCCTTTCAACAATGGTGAAGCCCAAACTTCAGAAGAGCGATCGATGTAGGCCTGGAAGCCTCTTCGGACTCAGCTGGTGGGGACCCCACGCCTGCACTGGAAAAGGATGAATGTGAGCCGTCGAATAAACTGCTACTAACTGCTATGACTAGCTTGTGTTCAGAGATAAATACAATCAAGCCTAAATTGTGCACCACACTGGACACTCACATGTTAGAGATTTCTACCACCATAAGAGGCGAGGTATCATCCTTGAACCAGAGCATCCAGGCCTCAATTTCGGACATAAAAAGCGACGTGGCCAAGCACGATAACACTTTGACTGAACTGCAGGCCTGTGCCTCAAACCACTCTGACACCATCGCCATTCTCCAGGCCACTGTGGAGCGTTTGTCTACAGAGTTAAAGAAGTTAGATGAGAAATGTGAAGATCTTGAGGCACAATCCAGGAGGAATAATGTAAGAATCACGAGAATACCAGACGGCATAGAAGGACCCAGAATGAGTTTGTTCCACAACTTTTGGCGGGGGCGCTATCTCTCGAGGAGAAGCCGCTAATCGATCGACCACATAGAGAAAAAAATTTAACATTTAAAAAATAGGAAAACACGAGGAAAACTAACTTTGAATCTGAGCTTAAGTAAATCCCTCAGAGGCTGGATTATGTCTTCAGTACAAAGATGATGTGGCTAACTTATCCGGTCGTTAAGTGATGACGTGACGAATCCTACTTCCGGGTCTAAAGTAGTCTGCGTTTAATATGGCTTTTGTGTTTTTAACATGTTTAATGTTTTGTATTTTCTTCTATTTGATCTCAAAAAGCTCCTAAAACAGTCAGTGATCACTGTTGACCTCCCTCGGCTTTTATTACCACTAATCATTTATTTAAGCTCAGTTTTTAAAACCTTAGGATGTAACTACAGCCCAGCCCATGCAGCAGTATATGAATGACTAACCTCGTATTGTGGATGGATTATCTCAGTTGTTCTCCTGGCTGAAGTTTGGTCCTTTTACAGCATCCTGCCATGCGATTACATTTGTTCCTGACCACCGAGAACACTCACGTTAACTTTTATCGAGTGGAAAAAAAGTTAGCTTGTTTATATTATGCTAACATAGCTGTGTCGCTAGCGATCACGTAGCACATCATTATATACCAGCTAGCCAAACTTCAGTAACCCTACAAACGTCACTGCTGTTTAGTTTTCTGTCTTCATTTATGTTGACAGAGGTTAATATCTGTTATTAACCTCTGTGTCTCTTCCACAGCATGTCTTTATCCTGTCTTCCTTCTCTCACCCCAACCGGTCGCAGCAGATGGCCCCGCCCCTCCCTGAGCCTGGTTCTGCCGGAGGTTTCTTCCTGTTAAAAGGGAGTTTTTCCTTCCCACTGTTGCCAAAGTGCTGCTCATAGGGGGTCATATGATTGTTGGGTTTTTCTCTGTATCTATGAAGCACCTTGAGGCGACTTATGTTGTGATTTGGCGCTATATAAATAAAATTGAATTGAATTGAATTGAATGTTGGAAGTGATAACAGAGCTGTACGTTTTAATTTGTTTCCAAAACCCCGCAGTCAGGACATGCTATATTGTATTTAGATAGAAGCTAGCGAGCTAACTTCCTGCTAACTTCTAACTCCGTTAAATGTCATAAATTCAGTTTTCATGGATGCCTGGATGTTGAACTCAGTTGTTACACCTGGTAGAGCAGAACGCTGATCATTTTATTAAAGATGAAAGACTTTAGACAGTTTTTCAACTCTCAGTAATGCCATAGTGATCGTTTGATATATGGACCTGCAGCGGAGTTTAGGCCCAGACACGGCTAGTGACGTCAGACTGAACGACCGGATTAGCTCAGCTAACTGCACACAGTTGGTACAGAAAAAGGCGGGAAAACCAACTGCCATCCAGCGTGAGACACAGACATGGAAGCCTGTTGATTTAGTCTCAGCGTCTGTCCTGTACAAGAGTAAAACTCAGCATCTCAACACTATGAGACACATTTACAGAACAGCTAATGATGACTTTATATCTCATAAGGTCCTGTTTGTATCTGATAGCTCACTCTGCATCCCAAAGACATGATCGCTGTCACATCCAGGTAGCTTTGCATCTCGTGGCCCCGACTCTGTATCGTGTAAGATAACTAACTGTCCCACAAAGGCAGCCTAGTAATGATGCTGTATTTTAAGTCTGTGTGTCTTTTAGTATCTCGAGGCAGAAGCAGACTTCAGTTTCTGTATTTCGAGTCTTTTGGCCTTTTTTTCTGTAAGTAAAACATCAGACGTCGTCCTCAGAAACTTAAATCAGTGCTTCTGACTGTTGGATGCACTTTTCTGAGTCCATCCTATAGTCGTCCTCTCTCTGCTTAATCCACTGCAGTCCTGAACACTGAGTAAAAATAAAAAAGACTCCTGCTTCCACCCACCTACATTGACTTACAGCAGCCCGAGGCAGCGACGGCTGGAACATGTCAGCAAAACCTCAAAACGCCCTGTGACCGTCCTGCGCAGGAATCATTGCTCTGCAGCAGCGAAGCCCGAGGCTGCAGGGATCACGCGTGCACAAAGGAGCGCCCCTGTGAAGGCGTTCTTTGTTAGCCAGAGTTCCTTTTATGTTTGATCAAAGCCTGGAGTTTCTGTTCGAGGAGACGGCCTGTCAAACTTTGGCGCTCTGCTCCTCCCTCAGGCTTTCCCCGCTCTGATGAATCTGACGCCTCGTTATTAAAAAGCACAAAAAAATCATCAAGTGGTGACTGCAAAACAAATATATGTTAATGAGGGGATAAAAATGGTAAAAACCTCTAATTAGTCTTTGCTTTCTGAATCACAGCGGAGCTTGAAAACATGTCAGCAGCTCTGAGAGCATTCAGCCTGACTCATTTATCACAATTTATTCTCGTGTTGTAACTGAAGCGGCGATGAAGGAGAGGATGAAGGAGAGGATCGGCGCACTCGCGCTCCTTCTGCTCCTCCAGACGAGCCGGTGCCGTCACATTTCAGCCCTCTCTGAAGTTGACGTGTTTCGGCCGCGTCATTTACCTGCCTCCCCAAAAACGCTCAGCATCTGCAGTCTGGCCGAGCTTCAGCACGAGAGGCGTACGCGTCAATGTGTTGGTTACGTATGTGTGAGCTGCAAACACATGAATTATGCATCCACGGTGCAGCGGCGGAGGAACGGCTGTTAGGGTTGCTGCTGGTTAAATCCATGAAACGATCAGACTGGAGCTGCTGCAGCGTTTTTAGGTCCCTCAGTTACTCCGAGCGACCTTCGTGGTGCTTCTGCAGACTCTGTGACCTTTCATCCCAAACCCACATCGACATCTCCATAAAAGGTGATTACGGCACGTTAGCCAAAGGAGACTTGAGCACTGTTGTCTGAAGGAAATTCACAATGAAAATATTTGTTTTCGTTCCAGCCTAAGCCGGCTTTCAGCCTCCAGTAAACAACATGATTCACTAAAAAAGACGAGAAATAATTCAGCCCCAGATTTGTTCTTCAGAGAGAGAATTAAGAGATTTAAGAGACGTGGAGAAAATATTTCAGTCCATCTGACAGAACCAAAACATGCTGTGATGTCACGCAGAGGTTTCTCAGCCCTGCTTTATCTGCACTACTGTGCATCCACGCAGGGGTGTTGATCTGGTCAGGTATGTAGCAGAGGGGTTGTTCGTGAGTTTCAGCTGCTTTGGTGTTCATTAAAATAACAACAGGGGCAACAATGAGTGGGATCATCCTGACAGGGAGCAGCGCAAAGGCAGAAACATACAAAAAGAGCTTTGGATGTCCTCCAGGAAGCCTGGAGATACATCTGGAGATCCTCACCGAGCCGACAGAGCCTGAGCTGGAGGATGAAGCTGCTCACAACACGCATTCACTTTCAAACTCATTGCAGGCTTTTGTTCTCTATAGTGTTGTGTTTGCATGTTTGAATACAATTTTGAAGCCATTTTCCTGCAAAATATAAATGAATGAAGGGTAACTGTAGACTGACAGCTGTGATGGTCCTCTGTGCTGTGTTACAGGCCTAACGGTGGATAACCGAGAAGCAAAAACAAATCCAAACCTCAAAAGCATCACTGGGACCGTGACAGTGGCGAGTCACGATATTTTTGAGCCTCATGAAATGTATGAAAACAGACTTGAGACGGAGCGCCGTGCAGGAAGCAGCCTCAGGGTGACGTTAAACAGATGTGTACAGATGCAGGGTGACACACGCACACAGACACATGCCGACAGCGAGGCTCACTGCAGTCGTCGCTGTCGGAGCTGTTGATCTCCACCGACGTGTCCACGCTGCTGGTCAGGGATAGGGACCCGCCCCCGCCGGGCCTGCCCTGGGCCAACAGAGGAGACAGGAGGTGAGACCCGCCCATTCCCGAGGCCACCGAGCCGGGGCTGAGGGACGGCGGCGGGGACACGGCGGGGTTGGGGGAGACGGGGGTGGGGGAGGTGGGGGACAGGCGGGGGAAGTAGGCGGAGATCTGGCGGATGGGTCTGATGGGGCCGGGGCAAACGTCTATGGCCATGTGTTCCTGGATGGAGATGCTGAGCTTCTTTCCTCTCCGAACCGTCATAGAGTCTGAAGACAAACAAACAAACAAACAAACCTGTTTACTCACTGAGAGCTTTGATCTCAGCACATTAACAGCATTTAAATTCAGATTGTTTCGTTTATTGTGGTTTTTTTAGTTTAAACTAGATTGGTTCAAATACAGATGAATTAGATTTAGATTAATAATAATTAACTTTGATTTATTGGTTTAACTTTATGTGGGTTTAATTGAGTTTACTTTGGTTACAGTTATATTATTAAGTTGGTTTAGTTGAGTTTAAATTTGGGTTAGTTTGGATTAGTAGTCTGGTTTATTGTCCCTGCTTTGGTTCGTTAACCCAGTTAGTTACAGACCCAGAATAAGTGTTTAACCCAACAGTTTCCTAAACCTGAGCGAGCATTATGAACACTGACTGACACACAAACATCTGATCTGACTTTCTTTACGTGTCCTTAAGGAGACATTCATGAAGCCGGGTCTGGATATCCGTTTGGACTCATTTGTTTGAAGTGACTCACAGAAAAACTGAATAAAAGCTGAATGGATCTGTTGTGATGAACACCTGAGGAACACTTGAGTGCGTTTGATGTCAGATTTCAAAGGAAATAGCACGAGGCGTTTGACAAATTAGTCACGGGAAAGGTGTTGCTGCTGTCACAGGACTTAATTGAGCCACCAGGAGATGAAAAGAATTTGAAGGGAGCCTCAGATTTTAGGCGGTTCATGACTAATTATCCCAGATTTTTCTTCCTGGCAATGAAAGGAGAAATTGTCGTCATATTTTGAGGAGAATCTCTGACAGTCACGGCCCTGAAGACACGATCATTTTAAGGGTTCTTTGTAGTGAATTGTACCTGCGATCTATCAGAGATACCTCATCACACGGCGCTGCTTTCTAAGAACTGAATGTGACGAGCTTCAGGTTACATCAGGTAAAATAATGGCAGTGAGCAGTGGAGCCTGTCCCAGCACTCATAGCTGTGAGCGGCGGCGCACACCTGGACAGGTTACCCATGTGCCGCAGGGTGAACACAGAGACAGACGGCCAGTCACACCCTGTTAGCTGCATTTCATTACAAAATAAAATCCACGAGGAAAAAACACTTTGACTCTTCCTTCTGTTTGGTCTTATTATCCTCGCCCAGCTTTTCCTCCTTTCTGAATAACTGCACTGTAATTATACACTTTGTTTCCCCAACCTATGCTATTTAAAACATCCTCAGCTGTCTCTGGATGACTCGAGTAAGGATGTCTCAAACTGCTGCAGCAGTTTGTTCAATAATCCTCTGACCTGAAATTAAATGCAGTGTTTCATTTGACAGAAACTCGGTTTTATTTTGGCACTAACAGCACATCTCACACAGACGGAGGCAGTTTTATTGACAGCCGGCTGTAACACTGATAAATATGTTAAGCCAACTGCAGGCGACTACTGTTGTGGTCCAAGACAGGAATAGACTCGAGCTGCAGGAGAAATATCAGCTAAACTCTGCGAAGAAGCCTCATCGCCAGCCGTCTTTATCCAGATGTTCAATCCTGTTGTCACTTTTACAGCTGCTGATCTCTATGAACATGCCGGGTCAGAGATGAAGATCTGGACCAGCTGACTAACAGCAGGCAAAGAAAACTAGCATTGGATTAACGGGGAAGAGTACAGTCCAAGATCCAAGACCCAACCAGGCAACCCACATCATCACTGAAAGATCAGAGTCATAGTCCACTTTATTTATGCAGCACCAAACTACAACAACGGTCACCCCCAAGGTGCTTTATATTAGACGTCAGTACAATAATATAGATGAAACCCAACAATTATATGACCCCGAGCACTTTGGCGACAGTGAGAAGGAAAAACTTTGTTTTAACAGGAAGAGAGACGGGTGCAGTGAAAATCAGCAGGGCTGAGCGGACGTAGACCGGGATACAAGTCAGGACACATCAAACATGTGAGCAGAATATCCCAAATTAAACACAGCAAACAACCAAGTCAAGACCAGAGTGAGTTAAATATCAGTTCAAACCAGGCTGGACTTTAAGTGTTGCCGGACGAGTCTGATCAAAAGAAGACACGAAAACCTGTCGATGTCACTGAAAGCAGAGATACTCCTCAGAGTGACATGAGTGAGCTGACAGAGTGACAGAAAGTCGTGGAAGTCTTTCCAGGGTGTCTGTCTCCACAGGAATGACGAGGCCAAGTCTCAGCCCGGTGCTGCCATCAAACGCACCCGATTGGCTGATCATCACCAGTGTGAGCACATCTGTAGAGCTGAGGTTTCTGATGTTTGCAGGTCTGGAGCGTTCAGGTGTGTTAACAGCGCACAGTCGTCCAGGAGTGGACGTCCCAGCAAATTCAGCCTGAGTAAAAACCCAGGAGCTCCATCTCAGACTCACAGGCCCCAGTCAAAGGTTAAAGGTTAAACGTAGCAGCACAGTTAGAAACAGACTGAGCTGAAAGTCTGTCCATGAAGCACAAAACCAAACTCATAAGACCTCAGAGCAGCTGTGAGCGCGGCGCTGGAGGGATGATGGTTTGGGTACCTCGGGGTCACTGAGTGGACCGTGAGCTCCTTCATCAACAGCAGAGTGTTGGACCTCAGCGACACAACAGAACACCTGTGTGGCGGACACCTGCTGCGTTCATCAGCCCGGCTGTGCTCGAGGGAGTTAAGATGCAGAAGGATCAGCGCAGCTGTTTAAGCTCAGAGCTAACAGTCAGGAGGCGAGCGTGTTCGATCCCCGTTTAAAGGAAACCCTTTTCTTCTGTTTGACACATGGTAGTCCTGACAGCAGCTCCACGCCGCTGCAGCAGCTGACAGCAGGTGTTTACGAGGAGTGTGTGTGTCTGACACATGAAAAGAGGGAAAGAGGAGGGTTCATAGAAAGCACAAAGAAAGGTGTCGCAGCAGGACGCCGACACACATGGGCCGATGAAACAGGAGTTTAACGACCACAGTCCTGTAAGAGGTGTGGACATAACGGGGGGAAATCACACGACCAGAACGACCCGAGAGTGAAAGTTAGCTCGCTAACAACACACACACACAGCCTGCAGGTTGCATGAACAGCAGGGGAAGTCAACAGCTTCTTGGGCCTCGAGCCAGAATATTTAATCAGCGAGCCCCTGAGGGAGACCTCACCTGCTGCAACGCGAGACAGGTGAGACGCCTGAACGCAGCTCAGACTGCAGAGCGAGGCCTCAGCAGCGTTAGCATGAGAACAAACCGCAGTCAGAACGGCTCACCTCAGCTCCAATGTGTTTGCTTTAGAGCAGCTTTGCTCTCAGATTAAACAGATCTTTGAGTCAGGCTCACGTTTGTGCAACTTTCATTTAGTTTGTGTGAAGGAGTCGAGGAGAAATACTGAGCTACAGGTGAGCTAAACGAGTCCAAGAAACAGTTCAGAGATCTGCTGTAAATAAGCAAAGCTCTGCCATCACGTTTACATCTCTGTACACGCCAGAAACCACGTCAGATTGTGCTCAGGCTGGAAAGTGTTTATTTCTGCTGCAACGTTTAACATAGGAGTCTGCTGGAGCCCCTAGTGGACGTCGGATGAACTGCAGGCGTCGGCTTCATTTCAAACATTGTTTTATCTGCAGGCTGAATAAAACCACATAGATAAATGCAAAGTCCTCTGAATTCAACATGCACTGTTATTATTTTAGAAATTGACGCTGATGACGTCAGCATCCTGTTCTATTTAAAATATCTTTATTTACTGTGCAGATTAAACGCCTGATTACATTTCATAATAAACCTTCTAGACTTTATGTTCCAAGCCTGAACACAAGTCAGTTAGTCATCTTGCTCCTGAGTGAGAGAGCTGAATCCTCACGCTTTGACCTTTCAGAGTAATTTTCGTGGTCAAATGTGCGCCAACAGCCCTCCAGACCCGAGGAGTGCAGATCGCCGCCGCAGCTCGAGTGGACGTGAGTGACCGCACAGGTCGAGGTAAACCGTGTCAGAGGTATTACCGATGATTCACTTTAACATTTACCTGTGAATATGATACAAACACATTTTATGGGACTTTCAGTGGTTTCTGCTGCAGCACACGTATGATCATGCCTTGAAGTGCTGATTATAAGAAATGCTTAAATGCTTATTCAAGGTAAGTCTTTTAACTAAAGGCCATGATGAAGCAGAAAAGCTTTCTCAGAGTTTCTTCTATGTGGGCATAAAGCAGCGAGTGTGCCTCTGCTCGAACATCTGGGGACGCTAAACAACACCAATAATATGCAACTCCAAACCAGCTCCACCCTCAGGAGAGCCGACTCGATTTAACCAGGAAAAATGCACAACAGGCAAAATAAAGTACGCAAGTCACTGCTTCGACCGCCAGTGTCTCCTCCATGTTTTTCTGCTTTATTTACTCCCAAAGACTAAAATTCAAAATCTTACATTGTATTTCCTTCTATTACTGGCTTATATAGAAGGCACGCATTAAATTATTAAATAGATTAATTAAAATCAATATGCCATGAATGCATTATTATTGCTTTTGGTTGTATTACACTATATCCCTCTATTTTGTACTCTGTGTGTATCCATTACTTTGTTTATTAGTATCATCTCACGGGAACCAGCAGCCCTCTCTCTCTGTCAGCACCTCTTCATTTCCTGTTTTACTTTGTAGCTGGTCGTCTCTGTTTTGAGTTTCACTTCCTCCTCGTTGTCTTGATTGTGTTCAGCTGTTTCCGTTGCCCTCCGTGTTCGTCCCTGTCTTTGCCTGCCGGTGCTGGTTCTGGTCACCGTGTTACTCCCTGTGCACTCTTGGATCTTACAGCCGGTCTTTGACATTAAAGTTTGATATTTGTTCCTGACTCTGCCTCCTCGTTCTGCGCTCGAGTTAGGAAACTCTCTCTGTAGTTTTGACAGATGCTGTTCAGTCTGTCTGTAAATTCCCACTGCCTCCTCTCTGACTTCTGCATTTGTTGCACCACATGGGTCAGCATCCACCTTTTCTGATGCGAGCTGTGGCTCAGATGTGGATGCTGATTTCATCCGTCTGCAACTGCATCA